TGTTTCTATTTGTTGCAATAGTGACTGGAAAAAAGCAGTATTTGCTAACACGTTCAAGACCAACAATCTATTACAAGTTCTATTCTTCATTTTGCTCCAGCAAATAATAGTTATCATTGAACAAACTACAAACAAGCTTTACAAATACAGAAATCATTCACAACTACGCCCAAAGGTCAATCAAATTGTGCATTCCCTTTGATCCAACAATACTGTTACTAAGTCTGTATTCCAAAGAGATCATAAAAAAGGGAAAAGGACTTACATGTGCAAAAACATTTATAGCAGCTCTTTTTGTGGTGGTAAAGAATTGGACATTGAGGGGATGCCCATCAATTGGGGAATAGTTGAACAAGTTGTAGTATATGAATGTAATGAAAGTGCTATATGAAATATGAGCAGGCTGATTTCAGAAAAACCTGGAAAGACTTAGATGAACTGATGATGAGTGAAATGAACAGAACCATGAGAACACTGTCATGGTAACAGATCATGATCAACTATGATTGACTTAGCTCTTCTTTGCAATACAATGATCCAAGACAACTCCAAAAGATTCATGACGGAAAATGCTATCCACATCCAGAGAAAGAAATAATGAAGTCTGAATGCAGATCGAAGCATATTATTTTCACTTTATTGTGGGGCTTTGTGGTTTTTCCTTTTGTTCTATTTCTTCTATGACATATGTCTAATGTGGAAATGTGTTTTACATGACTGCAATGTACAACCTATATCAGATTGCTTGCCATCCTGGGGAGTGAAGGAGGGGAGGAAAGAAAGAAGAAAAGTTTAGAACTCAAAATCTTTTAAAAATGAAGCTGAAGGGGCAGCTAGGTGGCACAGTAGATAGAGCACCAGCCCTGGAGTCAGAAGGACCTGAGTTCAAATCCAGTCTCAGACACATAACACTTACTAGCTGTGTGACTCTGAGCAAGTCACTTAACCCCAACTGCCTCACCCAAAAAAAAAAAAAACCAACAACAACAACAACAAAACAATGCCTTTGGGACAGCTAGGTGGCACAATGGATAGTGCTCTGGCCTTGGAGTCAGGAGGACCTGAGTTCAAATCTGGCCTCAGACACTTGAAATTTACTAGCTGTGTCACCCTGGGCAAGTCACTTAACCCTGACTGCCTCACCAAAAAGCAAAAACAAACCAAAAAAAAATGAAGCTGAAAACTGTCTACCTTTGCAAGTACTTGGAAAAAAATAAAATACTATTGAAAAGAAATTTTTTTTTAAATAAATCACTCACCATACAAACTCAGTAGTATTCACATATAGCCAAAGCAATATTTTCAAATTTCCCTTGAAAACGTAATCTCCCAAAACATTAGTAATCATCTAAAACAACAGGAATTCTGTAACTTTGAATGTCTAAATATTTCCTTTATGCAGAGAATTTTTTTAATAGAACAAAGAAATAAGATACCACCTAACATCTATGTCAAGAAAGATCAAAGGGGGGAGGAGGAAGCTAGGTGGTGCAGGATAGAGCAGCAGCCCTGAAGTCAGGAGGACCTGAGTTCAAATCCAGCCTCAGACCAAACACTTGCCACTAGCTGTGTGACCCTGGGCAAGTCACTTAACCTCAATTGCCAAAAAAAAAAAGAAAAGAAAGATAAAAGCCAATTTCCTTTGGTTAGTAAGGTAAAGGAGATTAATTTGGGCTTTCTGTCCAGTTCTGACATTCTTTAATTCTGTGAAAAGGAGCAATTTGGTCATTTTGTTTTAGGAAAATTTGAGGAGGGAAAGATCATTTTCAGGAAGCCAATGGGAAAAACGATGGGAGCTCACAGTAAAGCAAAACTATGTGAGAGAGAGGATTCTTGTTCAGGTTAAGGGGTTGGGCATGACAGCCTCTGAAATCCCTTCTAACTCAGGAATTTTCCACAATTATATGAACAAAAGGTCCCTGACACTTCCAGCCTGAACTATTGCAATAGCCTCCTGACTGGTCTCCCTGCATTCAGCCCTTTCCCATTGAGATCCATACTCTAGAAAGCTGTCAAAAATTATACTCTTAAACCTTAAACCTAAATACACTACTCCCTTGCTCAAGAAGTTTAAATTGACTTCTGTTGTCTCTAGGATAAAAAACAGATTCCATTATTTGGCATTTAAAATCCTTTACAACCTGGCTCCTGTCCATCTTTTCATGGCTACGTTTCACAACTCTAGCCTCCCAAATTGCTTTACCTCATACAAGACATTTCAGCTTTTACTTCCACGCCTTTGCACAGGTTTTCCATAGCTGGAATGTTCTTCCTTACGTCTGGCCTCTTGGAATCCCTAGGTTCCTTCAAGATACAGCTCAAGTGCTACAGCATACAAGAGGTCTTTCCTAATTTCCCCAGTTTAGTCTTCCCTCTCCCAAATTATTTTGTACATATCTTGTATTTATTTATCTTTGAACATGCTGTATCCCCTTAGCAGAACCTTAAGGATAGAAACTATCTCATTCTTGTATTTGTATTTCCAGCATCTACCACAGTGCTTAGAATATATTCTGATATATCTATATGTCTGCAGAAAAAGGACAGAATAAAATAGCAATGCTTTTTTAAAAATGTTAATTCTGCATTTAGTTCACAATCTATACACAAAACTACATATTTGTTGATGGCACACCATCAATAAATTAGTAAAATACTTTACACAATATATTTATACAGTGATAAGGCAGTTCTGTATAGACTTGAATTTCATTTCTACCTCTGAAAAAAGTGTGAGCATAGAGAAGTAACAATCTTTCTGTGCCCCAGGTAACAGCTATATGACTATCTATATTACAAATAGTTGCTAATCTGAATTAAAAGATGGAATTTCTACATGAGAAGCTCCCTATACTAGTAAAATCACAAGGATAGATTAGATAGATAGATAGATGACAACCAAAAAATATATTTTCATTAACAATGAAAACACAATGCTCTTGGGAAGGGTAAAAATTGTATCTAAAAAGTCCAAAAACTGAATTTCAGATTGTTGCCTACATGCTTCATGATGCATGAATAATACGGGTAAAAGAGTCAATTTGCAAAATGAGTAGTTTTTGTTGCATATTAGATTTTGAAAAACAAAATTTGGTAGAAACTCTCATCTTTCATATTTTAATTTTTTTTATTTATTTTTAGTTTACAACATCCACTTCCATAAGTTTTTGAGTTTTAACTTTTCTGCCCCTTCCCTTCCTCCTCCCTCCCCAAGACAGTGTGCAATATGACATAGGCTCTACATATACATTCATATTAAACATATTTTCACATTAGTCATGCTGTAATAGAAGAAATAGAACAAAATGAAATAACCACAAAAACCCCCAACAAAGTGAAAACAGTATGCTTTGATCTGCATTCAGACTCCATTAGTTCTTTCTCTGGATGTGGATAGCATTTTCCATCATGAGTCTTTTGAAGTTGTCTTGGATCACTGTATTGCAGAGAAGAGCTAAGTCAATCATAGTTGACCATGTTACCATGACAATGTTCTCCTGGTTCTGTTCACTTCACTCATCAGTTCATCTAAGTCTTTCCAGGTTTTTCTGAAATCAGCCTGCTCATCATTTCTTATAGCACAATAGCATTCCATTACATTCATATACTATTTGTTCAACTATTCCCCAATTGATGAGCATCTCCTCAATGTCCAATTCTTAGCCTCCACCAAAAAAAGTTGCTATAAATATTTCTGCACATGTATATTTTTCCAGTTGTTATGATCCCTTTGGGATACAGACCTAGATCTGGTATTTCTGTGTCAAAGGATCATATCCTAATTTTTAAAATAACAGTTTATACACAGAAAAATCATGTAAAATTCTCTAGTATTAAAAAAAAAGTTAAGGAGAGTTTCTCAATTCTTTGATAAAAATGTCAAATGAGTGAAAACGTCTATTAAGCAAAAGTCAATAAATGCTTGGTATCTCATTAACAATGCCCATGAACTTTATTTCTTCCAAAGAAGGAAATTCTAAAATCAATCCAACCACACACTATGCCCCTCCTTCAGTAAAGGTCTTGGAAAGAGATGGGCCATTCTCCTTCTCAATCAACAAGCATATGCTAAGGACTAGGAAAAACAAAGACAAAGACAAAAATTTAACAGTTCCTGCTCTCCAGGAGCTTATCAGTGTAAGCAACAGGTACACATATTAAGTGCTCAAAACATTTCAGAGTACCTATATACTCTCATAAAGTCTTTCATCAAAACCAAACTACTGGTGTGCCATCAAGGTCTTCAATAAAGCAGCCACAGATACCTTAGCCTATCTTTTACCTATCTACCTTCTTTCTAGCCAATCTTACACCATCTTCCCAAATCCTCTTTCAAGGTACCTCCATTTCTTCAAACCTCCCTTCAAATCACTGCCCTGATTAAACTGTCCTTAAGCACTGAACTAGGACTAATGGGGCTGAGAGGTTCCCAATTTCCCCGTCCTGGTGTCCACTTGACTTCCTTCCCATCTCCTTTCTCTAATGTGGACACCTTGAAAATTAGAGATGTGTGGACTTTATATTACCAACCAAACCTTAATTCTGGAACTTTCCCTCGTTTCCCTCCCAACCCCCACCCCCAGGAAAATTCCCCAGGCAGAGTGAGCGAAAAGGGAGTCTTATCTACCTCAACTGACAAATACTACACCACAGCCTAGGGCAGGGGTTCTTAATCTGAAGTCTGTGAACTTTTAAAAATAAATATTTTGATAACTATTTCAATATTACTGGTTTCCTTTTACATTCTATGTGTTCTATTTTGTACATTTAAAAACATTCTGAAAAGGGATCGATAGATTTTACCAGACTAACAAAATGGTACATGCCACACACAAAAAAGGGGGGATTAGGCCTGCGCCTCCTTCCCCTCCCATCTACAGCCCAGCCTGCAGCAGTTGGCTCAGCAAACGAGAGTAAGGATGAAAGACCAGGGGAGACAAGGAGTCAGCACTGGTTTTGGGTAAAAAAACAAAACAAAACTACAAACCACAATGACTCACCTGCCTGGTGTCTCCGGGCACTGTCTGTGGCCCAGTTTCTCTACAGCCGTGGGGAAGAGGCTGCACAAAAATGCTGAAGAAGCAGAAGGAAGAGGCTATGGAAGCGAACCAGGGCTAAAGGATAAATTCTCCAATATGTAGGTCTACGTCGGGAAAGCTCGACATCCTTCAATAGACCAACATCAGGAGACTAAGCTACGCCTACCTGAGAGGGACTCCCCGCCCCCAACCAGTAAAAGGAAAAACAATCCCCCCCACCCACCCTCTCCTCATTTACGCAGACGTTCCAGAAGCCAAGGGAGAAGGCGGGCCCGGAGCAGCCCATAGGTGACAAACGGCGAAGGAATCCTCCAACGAAACAAGCTGCAGGAGCTGACACTAGCCCAATAAGAAACGTAAGAGGGAGAAAGCCGCTGCCCAATCCCGAGCTGTAGCTTTCCAGCTATGGGAACCACAGTCTGTGGACTTCCGACTTCTGCTCGCTGGAGGCGTGCCCAGCGGAGCCAATGCCGACGATCCAGTGGTGCGGAGCGAGCTCCTCAAAAGCGCCAGCTTCTCAGCTGATTGTTTTAGTCCGGAGTTGTTTTTTTGCAACTGTGGAGCCGCAGGAGGAGGAGCTCAAATTGCACCTCACACCGCCACCCCCGGAAGCGCGAAGCCTCGGAAATTCGGCTGAGGTTTAGGGATCCTGTCATTATTGCTCCCAGAGGGGTGTGACTTCCCCCCCCCTTAACTGTGGAGGCTCCGAGTTCGGTCTTTTCCTGCCCTCTGTGCCTCCCACCTTCAGCTCCTTCTATGAGGGTGACTGTCAGAGGCTCCCCAGCCGCTTTTGAGGCTGGTGCGGGGACGACAATGGCCAGCAGCAGAGTCGAGGAAGAAGAAAGAGCAGCAGCTGCCACTGTGGTGCCTGGTTCCGTGCAGCTTGTGCTGAGCATCCTGCATACCTCGTTATACGCTGCCCTCTTCTCATTTGCCTACTTGCAACTGTGGCGGCTGCTCCTTTATGAAGAACGGCGGCTGAGTTACCAGAGCCTCTGCCTCTTCCTTTGCCTGTCCTGGGCAGCACTCAGGACCACTCTTTTCTCTGCTGCCTTCTCCCTCGGCGGTTCCCTGCCACTTCTCTGGCCTCCCTCTAACCTCCATTTCTTCTCCCGCTGGCTACTCTACTGCTTTCCTTCCTGCCTCCAGTTCTCCACACTCTGTCTCCTCAACCTCTACCTGGCAGAGGTAAGGAGGATCGGAGAGAAAAGGGAACTGGGACTTGGGGCTGGGAGTCCGGGGGGGGGGGGGGGGGGGGGGGGGGGGAGAGGAGAGAGGGGAGGGTGTCCAGAGATAGCCTCCCAGATTGTATGAGAGCGAGGTGTTTTTGTTAAGGACTGAAATGGACATTAACCCGGGTTATTGGTGAGGAATTTACCTTTTGCCACGAACATCCTTCCATTCTAAACAAAGCAGCTGAGGCTTGAAAGAGTTTCGTGTCCAAATGCTTTGCAACTTTAATAGGCGAAACAAGCTTTTTGTTTAGTAACCTGACTCCCCTAAGAGAGTTGCAGCACTAACAAAGTGACTGGGAAAAAAAAGTAGTATTTCCAGTAGTCCTGCTGTACCTGAACTGCTAAATCTGGCCCACTGCCAGCCATTACGTCACCAGGCAGAAGCTTTTTCTCTATTGTTGCTGCATTTCTTTTATTAGCAGCTTATGTACCCTCCTACATCTTTTTCACTGTGGCTCAAGAAATCTCACACTGACATGGCTCAGTGGCTTTGGTAGCAGTCAGTAACCGTGAGGTGTCAGGAGATGGATCTGTCTTGGTCCTTCTATAACAGCACATAGAAAGTATTATGAATGAGTGAATGAGCATTCTATGTGCCAAGTGCCCTAACCACTTGGTGCTTTGTCAAACCTCTTTAAAGTTAGTCCTGTCCTTGCTAATAAGAGTAAAATATTAGTTTATTTTGTGCTTATTACAAAAATCATTCAACTGTTTTTGCAGTAATTTGGTTTATAGCTCAATTCCAATCAATTCCAATCTTTCTTCTGGAGTATTACTGCTGGTTGGGTTCCATTGTTCTGCAGTACTTAGGTATTTGACCTATTTCAAACAGGTATGGGTACCTGAAGTTGTTATATATGCTTACATGACATGTGCTTTCAATGCTTCTAAAGTTCCCAAATGATGCAAAAAGGGATTTGGGGAACCTAGGAGACTTTTATCTTTAAAAAGAAGTATAATGTACTCCATCATAGACTAACCCTGGTTTGTATTACCTAATATTGTGTTATTAATCAACAAGCATTTCTTAACTGTATTCCAGGTTTTATGCTAATGTTGAGAATATGAATAAAAGGTGAGCTAGTCCCTATCCTTAAGGAACATTTTGCTACTAAAGGGATACAGTATATTCTCAGATAAGTAAATAAATGAGGTGTACCAAATAAGTACACTGTGTGAGACTGCTTTGGCTGGAGCAGATTGTGTGAGGGGAAGTGATGGATGTCAAAGACTGGAAAGATAGCTGAAGTCAGAGTATAGGGCTTTAAATGCCAAAGTAGTTTGTCTTTTAACCTAAAGGCAATAGGGAACTATAGAAATCTCTTGAGTAAAGGCTTGACATGGTCAGAACTGTGTCTTAGAAATATTAATTTGGCAGCTGTATGTAAAAGAGTGGTTTACTGAATTGGTGTATGTGAGCATTTCTCTTGATATATAACCAACTTTGAGTTATCTTTGAGAGAAAGTGCAATCTAAAAAGTTATGGGTAATTTCAGCCTCCAACCCTTCCAACCATTTAAAGAGTCATTAACCATATAAAACTAACTCATCCTGAGTTTCATAAAAGGACAGGGAGGCAAAACTAAGAAAAGTCACAAGTCATGAAATGCTTGAAACTGAGATATCAAACAAAAGAAACAAAAGCCAAGGGTAATAATGAATTGGATGATCAACCCCTAAATAAATACTCTGTGTATATTCTGTGTATATTGATCTTCAACTTTGTTTAAAAGCTGTATGAGACCTTTCATATTAGTGTTTCTATAATACACATTCTCTATCCTTCCACCACTCCTGATAAGAGACTAATGTCCTATGTTTACAATGAATTCTAATTTATCTATAGATTTCCTTAAATGAGACATTGACATTTACAAATTTCAAATGGCATTTATACCAATGTAAACATTTCAGGTCTTCAATCAGTGTGATAATTATATTGGAATTTGTTTGGCTTAAACACTAAATTTATGAATTACATTTTGCAGAAGAAAAAATAATGGCATCTGTAATCTAAGCTCAAGATTTTCGAATTATACTTCCATAGTATGATAGCTTGAAATATTGGAATTAATTGTCTGACATAATAATCCAATAGATATCTGAACTACTAAGAAAAACTCTAAGCATTGGGGGGGGGGCGAGTTTAAACCCTTTAAAAGTGATAGTCAAGTTAATAGTTGGAAGATTTTGAAGAGCCCTACAATATTGTAGAAAATAAATTTTTCTTCAAGCTATTCAGAAACACTTGCTTAAAAAGTAACATTTTTTTTTAAGTGAGGCAATCAGGGTTAAGTGAGGCAATCGGGGTTAAGTGACTTGCCCAAGGTCACACAGCTAGTAAGTGTCAAGTGTTTGGTCTGAGGCCAGATTTGAACTCAGGTCTTCCTGACTTCAGGGCCGGTGCTCTATCCACTGCTCCACCTACCTGCTCCCAAAAATAACATTCTAGTTAGAAATCACCTACCTAGTAGTTAGTTAAAAATAAGTCATGATTATAGATTTAAAATTGATAGGTACCTTGGAGTTCATCTAGGTCATTTTACAGGTAAAGAAAGTGAGGCATAACTTAACTAAAATTACATAGGCAAGTAAATAAAGCAAAAAAAAATGACCTAATAATAATAGCTAGTATTTATAGAGTGCTTTAAGATTTGCAAAGTGTTTTTTCATGTTTTCTTATTTGAGTCTCCTAACTGTCATGTGAGGTAAGTACTATTATGATCTGCAATTTACAGATGAGGAAGCTGAGTTTAAGAGATGTTTGTTAAATGACTTGCCCAGGTCATACAACTAATTAAATGTCCAAGGCAAGAGTCAAACTTGGGTCTTTCTGATTCCAAATCCAGCATTTTTCTACTGTGCCACCTAGCCACTTCAAAGAAGAACCAATGCTTCTGGCTCCAAATTTAGTATTAAACTTTTAAAAAATTCAGATGTTATTCAGATTTAATAATTTTGATTGTCTTTCTCACTAATTTTATTCCTAATCATTTATAATTAAAGAGGTATCATGGCCAGCCTCAAAGCCAGGAAGACCTAGGTTCAAGTCCTGCTTCTGTATATTGTTGGTGTGATCTTAGGCAAATCTCTTAACCTCTCAGTGCCACCAGGCAACTGATGTGGTACAGACCTGCATTAGTAGAGACAGTTTCATTACCCAGGAGTTCTCAATACTAACAAAATTATAGGGTTCATGTCTCATCATTGAGATAACAAATATGTGAGTCATACCAGATTTTCACCGGACCAAATATCCCTTGTATTTATAAGTAAATTTTAATTATACTTTCTATTATTATATTTCTGACTCTGCCCTCATTATAACTTTTTTTTAAGTAAGCAAAACCAAGCAATATAATGACTACCCCTGACTCTGTATACAAGATTCTGTACCTATTATTCTCCTCTCTCCAACAGTTCATTATCTGTTCTCCAAAACTGATTGGTCATTACAGTCTTTAAAGTTGGGTTTTCTTTTAGCATTCTAATAATTTACATTATTTTAGGTATTATGTATATTCTGCTTACATTATCTTATATCAGTTCATACAAATCTTCCAATGCTTTTCTGAATCCCTATTATCCCTTATTTTGTACAGTTATATTATATGTCCTTCATATACCTTGATCTCTTCAACTGTTGCCCACTCAGTGGACACCTACTTTGATTTCAAGTTTTTGCTACCATAAAAAGTGATAACTTATGAATATTTTATTATATATATATATATACCTGTCTTTTCCTTAGTTTCTTTTTAAAATAATATATAATTAGTTAAGAAAACTTAATTGGCATTTTTGCATTTAACCTATGTTCTTATCAAGTTTATAGTGTAGTGAGTATTCTCTGGCTTCCTCTCCCGGAGCCAGAATGGCTATATCTGCCCCTCTGGGCTCTAGAATATACTGAAAGATTTAAGGGTATCTCTCATCTCTACTTCCAGTGACTCAAGCCCCAAACCAGCTCTTCCTTTCTCTCACTCCCAACATGGTCAGTGACTAGCCTTGCTTCCATTTAACCACTTAACATCAAATAGCTTTTACCAAGGGAAATTTATATTGAAGATATCACAAAAATAAAGATAATGGTGTGAGAATTTTCGAGGGCCTTCTAGCTACTGCCCCGATAAATCAGCATAGGATAGAAACATAGAGGTAAACTGAATTTACGGTTTATTTAACTACCCAAGTGTAGCACACACTCTCAGTGGGTGATGGATGTGGGAGTGTCACAATTTAACAGATGACAAGGATATAGATAGATAGAGATAGTATGGGTGTTTATGTTTGGTTTGTGGTTATGGGTGTTTATTTTTGTATATATTTATAGATATGTGAATATACATGTTTGTGTATGTGTGTATATTCATATGTATATATACATATAAGTATATATATATGTATATATGTGTGTGTAAGTATGTATGTGTGTGTGTGTGTGTATGTGTGTGTATATCTTCTCCTAAGCTATACAACCCAAGGAAAGTAGCAAAAAGGAAGCTATGTACCTTACAAAGCAGTTTTGGATAAGAAACTGCTATGTAAGGCCTACTTAGAATATATGTTAGGCACCAGGCCCCTGTGCAGGAAAAGTTACTGATTAAAACAAGAAGGAGGATGTTTAAATTGTTGCAGAGGAAGGAATGTGTCCTTTAGCATAGCCATTTACATTAGACAAAGGAAATACAGTTATTCCTTCCACATCTTGACTTCCCCCATCAGTCACAGTTTCGACATATTGCAGGTCAGCATAAGAAATTAAATGGGAATTTTTTGGAAGCTTTGAGGAAGCCACAAACAACACATAAAGTCCAGCTGATGATGCAGAAAAAAAGTTTAGAAACTCAGAAATGCATAAAATATATGTATATATTGTATAACATCAACCCAAATTTTACAATAAGGTACTGTCAACACCCTATAAAAGAAAAAGAAAAAAATTCAGACTCT